TTTAAATAATTAGACCAAGATATTAAATAGATAAAATAGGTTACTGCAAAGGAATCTAATAAACGACTTAAGAATATACTACTAAAGTATTATATTTATAAGAAATTATTTTAAGAGGAATTAGATACTAAGTTACCTTAATATATAGATTATAATATTAAAATTATATTAAAGGATAAAAAGAATTTAAAATTCTTTTTTATTTATAACCTATCTTAAGATAAGCTAGATATACTTAGAGAATAGTTAAATAATATGCTATAAAAAGGATATATTAAATTATTAAAATCCTTAGTAAGATACCTAGTTATATTTATATTAAAACCTAATTCTAATAAGCTAAGATTTATAATAAATTATTAATAACTTAATAAAATTATAGGAAAAGATAAAATACTATTACTACTTATTACTAAACTTAAGGACTGCCTATTTAATAAGAAATAGTTTATAGCCCTTAATCTTAAATCTACTTATAATCTTATTTAAATTAAAGAAGGTAATAAATAGAAAATAGCCTTTTAAATAAAATATAAATTATTTAAATATTTAATTATGCCTTTTAGATTAATTAATATACCTATAGTATTCTAATATATAATTACTAATATACTTTAAGAATATCTTAATATCTTTATAATTTACTACTTAGATAATATCCTTATCTTCTTTAATATAAAAGAGGAGTATATAGAATATATTTATAAGGTTTTTAAAGTACTATAAGATACTAATATACTTATTAAACTTATAAAAAGTTACTTCTATTAGTCTTAAGTAATATACTTAGGATATAAAATCTTATATAATAAGATTAGGATAGATAAATAAAAGATTATAGTAGTTATTAAATAGAAACTACCTATATTAATAAAAAAAACCTAGTCTTTCCTAGGATTTACTAATTATTACTAATAATTTATTAAAGGTTTTAATAAAATTATTATCCCTCTTATTAAGATTATTAAAAAGGATAAATAATTCTAATAAAATAATAAAGTATAATAAGCTTTTAAATAGCTTAAATTAGCTATTATAAATAAACCTATTTTAATTATATTTAACCCTGACTAATAAGTTGAATTTAAAACTAATGCTTTTAACTTTGCTTTAAGAGGATAAATAGGATAATAAGATAATAATAGTATATTATACCTTATTGCTTTTTAT